ATATAATGTCCATCTACAAAAAGGGAGATAAGGACAACAAGGGGATTTACAGACCAGTCTCCTTAACTTCTGTGTCAGGAAAGATAATGGAGCAAATAATTAAGGAATCCATTTGCAAACATCTGGAAGATAATAAGGTGATAAGTGAATCAGCATGGATTTGTCAAGAACAAATCACATCACATCAACCTAACAGCGTTCTTTGACAGCATAACAAGCCTTGTGGATAGTGGATAGCTTTCAAGTTAAAAGTGCATAAAAGCTAGTTACAGGGAGAAAAATTGTTCTTCTTAACCTCTGAAGATATGACAGGAAGCAATGTGCTTTAAATGCAACAAGAGTAATTTAGGCTGGGTATTAGGATAAACTTCCTGTCAGGGTGGTTAAATACTGGAATAAATTGCCTAGGGAGGTTGTGATATCTTCATCAGTGATGACTTTTAAAGGCAAGACAAACACTTATCAGGGATGATCTAGATGGTGCTTGGTCCTGTCATGAGTTCAGGGGACTGAACTAGATGACCTCTCGAGGTCCCTTTCAATCTTTTGATTCTGATTATTCTAATTAGGGATGTTAGTGTATAGTCATGTAAACGATTAACTGATAAACCTGGGTTTATCGGTTAATCCAAATGACTCACTCCCTCCCCCTTGCAGCCTCTGAATAAACTGGCTCCCTATAATCCTAGATCTCATGGAGCATAAAGTGATACATTTTTTATATCTTTTAGGCTGGTATGTTGCTTGGCTGGCAGGAGTCCACAAGGATAGTGTGGCATGCACAGCAGTGTGCAAAGAACACCCTATATGCATCTGTGCACAGGGCAGTGAAAGTCTCAGTTATCCGGTATCCTGAAATAGTTCTTCTGCAGCTTAAGAGCAAGCCCATTATATCGAAATATAACGGGCTCGCTATTCTGACATCCCTGTAAACCTCATTGCATGAGGGAGAAGGGACATTTCGGAACAGAGTTTTATTTCAAAATTTGGTACTATGTAGATAGCGTCAAATTTCAAAATTAACTCGAAATAAGTTATGCAATTTCAAAGTAAGGGTGCTGTGTAGATGCATTCCTACCGGCAGTGCTTTTTTTGCTTAAAAAAAAAAAAAAAAAAAGCTGCCGGTACTAGATGGTTTCAAAAAAATTTTGATAAAAATTTGTCAATCAAAACAAAACAAAAAAGGCTGGGGGAAATTTGTCGGAAAAAAAAAGCCAGGGAGTAGCCAGGGAGACCTGGGAGGTCGGGGCCAAAATGTGGTCGCAGCCACTTTAGTTGCCATGTGTCACAAGCGGGCTTCCCAGGGCCGGCTGAGGGCTGTGCCGGGGGAAAGTGGCGAGTGCTTTCAAAAAAAGCACTGCCTACTGGACTGGTGAAAGGGGAACTAATCCTACAGCTCTCAAGAGCGTGACACAGCTTCCAGTTCCCCAGGCTGGGAACAGTTCAGTTGATTACAGCACAAATTGTCATTAATATCCCAAACTGAGGTGAGATAATAAGTATAGTAAATAAAATCCTTTTATGCAAAAATCCTGCTGTCTGAAACTGCTGGGGAGAGGAGAACAGGAGAAGCAACTTTGAAGACAAAAGCACCAGCTCACTTCCAAATGACAAGCTTGTGCTTAGCTTCCGTGGCCTGCCATTCCTGTTACAGTCCTTAAGTTTCAGTGATGTGCAAACACATTCTATAATATAAAGATGAATATTTGGAATGTGCAATTATTTGAGTATCTAGTTTATCAGGATAAATGAGACAATAATTACTGTCTCCCCTAAAACTGGGGTAAAGTGAAATTTATGATCAGGATATTATTAAGTATTATTAAGTTACAGATCCCAGCTCAAGTCTCATGTGATGCCTGCATCAAATAAATTTTTCAATTATGGTTTGGTTGTACACCAGTTCAAGAGGAAATTTCATTTATTGGGAAAAAATTGAGATTGTTTGGAATCATCTTAACTACTGCGTTACGCATTGGCTAAGTAACCATGTGATCGTATTTCCATTACCCTTTCTAATTTCCTATTGTTTTTCTCATTCTTGTCACTTTTTTTCATATTATATTGCAAACTCCACAAGAAGGAAACACCTCTTACCCTTTGATTGTGCAATGCCTAACAGAACCATGCCCCAGTCCTGGCTGGAACCACTACACAACCAGATTGTAATCACCAGATTAAGGCATAGGTGTAAATCCTATAGGCATAGGGACTCAACTCTCAGAAATAATCCTATGGGGTGCTATCATAATTTCAGGTTTGTTGTGTTCCTTGATTCATAGATACAAAGAAAAACTTCATCCAACTATAATGCCTATTTGATTTTGCAGAAAACATACGCCAGACAAGATGCCACTACCACCACAGAGAAAGTCATTTGACTCCATCCTCAAAGCAGATCCTGCTGCTCTATAGCTGCCTATCCCAGTTTGGAACAGGGTTTTCTGCATAATACATGTCCCCATTTGATGATATGTCTAAATGGTGAATTGCCTGTCCCTTTTTTAACTCAATACAGATTTATTCAATAAAGTATTTTAAATGAGCTTCCAGCTCCCCTGAATCTTAGATTATTTTAGTATTTTACTTTTATTATCTGACATTAATTTTAGTGTGTGAGAGAAAGGTAGGGTCTAGTAGAAAAATCAAAACCGACACCAATTTTTGTTGTCTCCGATATTGCTGTTCTGAACAGTTCAGGATTTGATCCCGTGTCACTAAAATCAAGTGATTGCTACCTCTAGGAACAGAAGCTTCATGGGGTAGCCCAGTTAGTCTGTACAGGATAAACTTAAAAAACAACAAATGGTCTGGTAGCACTTTATAGACTAACAAAAAATGTAGATGGTATCATGAGCTTTGGTGGGCACAGCCCACGATACCATCTACATGTTGTGTTAGTCTTTAAAGTGCTACCAGACCATTTGTTGTTTTTTAAGTTTATCTGAGGACAGAGTTAGAGAGTAAACCCATAGTTTTACAGCTGAGGTTAACCTAGCCTAGCCCCTACATTAACCACAGAGATAAGATCCTCACTGCATCGTTGCATGATTAGACAAACCAAAGTCCATTGGCAGACGCAGGCCAAGCCCAAACTGGAGAGCAAGTTTTCTTCCTCAGACAACGGCTACTAGATAAAGGGACAAAATGGCCGAGTCTGATTTTTTTGTACCCCCGCAAGCAGCTCCCTCACTGACACGTTTCCAACCCCACATGCAGAGCAGCTGTCTAACTCTCACGCGCTTAAGCGCGGCTTGAGGCCAGAGATTGACCCTCCCCCGCCGCATCCCACTGCCCATCGCCCCCCTCGGGGAACGGAGTGCCCGGGCGCGGATCCAGCCTGAGCTCCCGTAGCAGGCCCTGAGCCGCCCCGGGCTCTGAGCAGCGCGGCTGCCGCCGGGCTTCCCCTGTCGCCTGCTGAGCGTAGTTCTCCGCGCGCAGCGGGCTGCCCTTGGAAGCTGCGGAGGGGACGGGGCAGGGCGCACGCGCTCCCTGGCCGGGGGAGGAAAGGCGGCCGGGGCGGGCTGCGGGGCTGGCAGGTGGCTGCTGT